GCGGCACTTTGGTCCTTGGAGCGCCCGCGTCTCGACATTATTCACCAGGATCTATTGGACAAGGACAAACAGTACTTTCCGCGTCAGTTGATTGAGTCTTTGGGAGTGATACACGAACTTGTATGGTGGTGTAGGTCTGGCCAAGTCAGTTTGGCCTTCTCCGGACTAACAAATACTTCTTCTAGTCACCCGTGCGCCATCAGAGAGCCGAGAGACGGAAATCAGCCTAAACAATGCTCAGAGGGGAAAGGTATGCATGGAAGGTGGCTCGGAACATGCAGCAAAGCCGCTTACGGCTCAGCAGGCTCCTGATCGCGCCGGTGGCAAGTGTTGCATCACGGGCAGTGATGATGCAGAGCGCTGCCACATCATTCCCTTGTGGACCCTGACGCGGCCGCAAAAGAGCCAACTTCTGGAGTACAATCTGGAAGGCTTTCTTGGCACAGAGGAACCTCGCCTCAGCGTAGCATTGTTGAAGTACAAGATCGGCATCACCTGGAACACCATTTACATGAGTCGAGAGTTGCACAAGCTCTGGGACAAGGGTCTCTTTGCCTTGGAACCTCTGGGCTACGATTCAAGACCCAAGCAGCGTGAGACAGGTGCCTCTGTGGAGCACGTGGAGAAGAAAGATATTGAACACTGTCTCAAGCTCCGCTTCCATTGGTTGCCCAAGACATCAGTTCAGGGCCTGAGAGCGACTTTGTCCACAGACCTGCTCAACGCCAGCCCTCGGGACCTTATCCAAGCATTCGAGACAGATGACGAACTCCAAACCGATTCTCTGCGCCGCGTCGATAGCGGTAAGATCATAACAATTTGGGCAGACAGGCGTGAAGACCTTCCCGCCATTGGGTTTCTCAGGGTTCGATGGCTCGCTTGCCTTATTCATCGCTTCGCAGGGGGTATAGACCCTAAGGCTTATGAGCCTCTTTTCCCTAATTCGGACGATGTATGCGCTATTGATAATATGCTTTGGGATGCTGAGGAGCTCACCAGACTACGAACGTGCATGGCGGACCTAGAACTCCGTATCAAGAACAGACTGGCAGATGCTTGAGGAAGCTGGCTGGGAAGAATAGGGAGGAGAAGGGCAAGAGTGACAGAATCGGTGTAGTATGTCTAGCGGTTATCTCCTTCTAGAGGGTCTGGGAGTGCTTTTGGGCTTTTTCCATCCGTGGTTTATCTAGCGACCGGTTGACGATGCCGGGAACCGTAGCAGCAAGCCCCAACGAAGCCACGTACCAATATCGGTCCCATAACCAGAAGCTTCCACACATATTATGGCCACCATTGTGTCCTAGCGTCGTCATCCCCCATCATCATCAATCGCCAATTTCATCATCTTCGCTACCGTCGTCATCAACTGCTTCTGAATTATCACCGTCGCCCTCCATTATTGTCGTCTAACGCCGTCGCCCAGCGTTGTCTTCCTTTCAATGTCGCCCTCGTCATGTTTGATACCTTCGTCTTTTATTTCTCCAGTCTCTGGGTCATCTTTGTCATATTGATGCTTAAGCATATGCTTTAGTCACCTTTATGCGCTGGCAACCTTGGAGGTAAGGTGCCTGGAACATTGTAGGAAACAAACGTCGATGACGCAAGGACCTGCCGCAATACCATCAACTTCTATGAAGATGTTCGCTAACTATCGGAACTCTGCGTGTAGATTGTCAATAAAAGACTTCACGGAATGCCTGGATGGGCAAAAGTCACTACCTGTTGCAAGTTAGGCCGTACACAGAAAACATTCCTAGCCTAAGAACTCGTGTGGACAAAGTAGCGTACAAAATGAAAGTTGATTCTTTTCGCATTGACAACCATGCAATAACTACTTCTTCGCATAAAATTCTCACCCATGAATACGCTTGAATTCGAGCAAAGTCTCCTGTAATTCCCTGGAACAACCAGTGCGCAACATGAACACCACGGTAGATGTGGACGCTCGTCCCAGCCTGAGCCCTCCTTTCGAAGATGAGTTGTCCACTCGACTTGACCTCATTGTCAGCATTCACATCCACCTTCATACAGACAAAAAGACGCTCAGATATGATATTCTCTGGGATAAGGCAGACCAGGTGATAGTACCCGCCCGCTGAGATATCAGCTTGGCGACGTTTTGCCGCAAGCGCGTTTATGGGCTACGCTTTGTCCTTGGATATTGACCGTCTGAGGGCTTTTCACGACTACACGCTGAACGATAGAGGTTGCATCTTCATACTCTTTCTAGGTGCAATACCGGAGTTTGTCTGGTGGTGTGAGTCTGACCACTTACCTTATCCTTGTATGGTCCGAGCTAACTGCAACCACCTAGTCATCCGTGTCCCTCCAGAGCGTTCAGAAAATACGACCGACATCCGCGACGGCAATAGGTGTTGTATTACGGGCCAGAACGATGCTGAGCAATGTCACATTATACCTTTATGGACATCGATAAGACGTGAGAGAACCGATTTCCTGCTACGTAACTTGCACGACATGCTTGGTTATGAAACCATGACAAGAATTCAGCGGGCGGTCGATAGCGAGCTTCGCAAACCATCTTTAATGAATACATTCTGTCTGAGCCGACGATTACAAGCTATTTGGCAAAGTGGAGCGTTTGTCTTGGAACCCGTGGGCTACGTCACAAGACGCAAGAAGACCCAAGAAGACGGCGATGCGTTGTGTCAGTCAAGTAGCCGGGGCCCAGGCTCATTCATGGCAGCAGTCTTCCGATCGATGAGTAGATTTACAAACATCGGCAAGTCCCCAGAAACAACTACATCGACCGAAGAAACGGACCAGGTCAACGGGCAGGAGTCCAAACTCGAGTATGCCCTCGCCCGAAGCCTCATCAACAATCGGTCCCAGGAGCAGACCGACGCAGATACTAATAAGTATGGTCTCCAATTACGGTTTGAATGGCTCCCAGCAACCTCCCTCCATCACTTGAGAGCGGATGGTCCCGATTTACGCACTGATCCGCCCACCATGTTCCAGCCTTTGAAAGAGCGAGATCAAGAGTTTAGGGGCCACAACGCAGGCCAAATCAGGGACGGCCAGATCTTTACAGTGTGGGCAGACAACATCAAAGACCTCCCCAACCGGAATTTCATGCAGCTACGGTCTCTGGCGTGCCGCATCCATCGCTTAGGTGGAGGCGCAGATCCTAGTTTTTACGAGCCGCCACATCCTGATTCGGATGACATGTTTAAAGTCAGCGAGCTGCATATGAAATTTGAGGAGAAGTGCAAGCTAGAGAAGCGTCTTGCAAAGCTTTATAAGGAGCTCGGCGGCGACAAAGATGTCCTTGGCATGGATCCTACGAAGTGCCACTTTTGTGGCGCTGAAAGCGACCCAGGTTCGAGATGAACAGTGTTGACAGATGTCTTTGAGGAAGCGTCCACGACTGTTGTTGGTTCCATGTTATCAGTTATGCAAACTTCCGTGTTTCAATCGTTATGACATGCCTTTACTTCTGAATAGCAGTCTCCGGTGGACAGCCAAAGAGTTTCGGGATCCGTGTCCCCACCCCCACTCAGCCGTGGCCGGATAAAAAGGCGGGATGCCGATGTTTATTTATGTTCGGACTAGGCGAAGGCAACTTGAACAAGACAGGGTCTACACCCTGTTGCTCGCCTCCCATTCTGGTTATTCTGGACTCAGATGATAACTTCAGAATGTCCAACAGCGAAGTCAATCAATTCATGTTGCTTTGAGGCGGGTTCCTCATTTGCCAATACTGTGAGTGAGTACCCTTTCCACTCCGTTCCCCGATCGTATGACAACTCAAAGCTGCAGCTGGCAATTGCAGCGGCTTTCTTGTGATGTTAGCTGTTCAAAGTTGATGACACATCTTGTCCAGGCGCTAGTCCAGATGAACGCCGGTTCGTTCGGCAGCGTCGATCGAATGCTTATCGGACGACAGATCGTGAGTTTCCCTACGCAAAAGACAGCCGCTGAGTTCCACCTGCACAGCAGTCGCGCGGCTGCTGACATGAGCACACCCTCGTATCCCGTGTATCCCGTGTGTGCAGCTAATCGCCGGGTGGCCGGCACGCTGCGTGACATTCCAAAACAGGGGCTGGCAGTGGTCCTCCAGTCGCCGCGAGTCAGTATCCCCGGTCATGTTGGTTCTCACAGCCCGAAAAAGAAAGTCTGTTCCCCTGAAATCACGGAATTTATAGCGCATGTTGTCTCTACTAAATTGTATTTGCCGGAAAACATGCGGCATGTTAATATGGAATTGAAGCCGCGCCTCGGTACTGCTCCACGGAGAGCCGACCTTGATTGGACTTTACTGCCTCTGTTGTCAGATTTTTGACATCATGCTGATCATAGCTGTAGGGCGCAACTGACCGGTCATGCCGCATGACCAGCTGTTTGTTTTTAGTTGCCGTGCTACCCCGGATATACTAAATTTGAGTTTTTGAGCCTGTCGAATCAAGCATTATTGACAGTCGACTGAAAGAATGGCTAAGCATTCTGCCGCTATTCGGACCGGGTCTATCTCGAAAACATGGGGATATCTCCTTTTCGGTAGTGTCCGCCTCGGAACTGGACAATAGCAGCTCTAACTTAGGTAATAATCGTCCACGGCACTTTGCACATAAACACGTTCCACTTATACAGACGTCACTATCTTATACAGACGTCACTATCTGCCGTTGGTTGACCCATTCGCGGGGGTTCCTTCTGGATCGGAACACTGCATCCATGTCAAGATCCACGATCATCGCCCCAGCAGGTCTCCGCAACAGCTGTGTAGAGTTGCAATTAGAGATGGCCCGACATGGTACCAGGCAGTGGGTGTATTCCGAATCCGAACTTGGAAAACATGCAGATCAGTTTACCACCGGCAAACATCAGTGGCCGGGAAATTCTATAAAGACAGCCCCCATCTCATCACAAGAGCAATTGATCACACCATCATCAACCAGTCAAAACGCCTGCTACTCAGTCCTTCTTTCGAACTACCTCCAGTCCCTCTTTGTCCGTATACATAAACCGACTCCAAAATGAAGGCCTTCACCGTTCTCTTCAACCTTGCCTTGGCCGCCACCGCCATGGCCGGTGCCGTCGACACCCGCGCCCTGGAGCCCGGCTTTGCCGAGCGCGCCTGCGGCACCACTGGAGGTAAGTACCATGTTTACTCCCTCAACACTCAAGGCATGAAACTAACACGATGCTTCTTTATAGCTCCTTGCACCAGCGGCGACGACTGCTGCACCTACTGCGACCCCTACTCCGGCTGGACTTGCACTGACTCTACCAGAGCCTGTGTCGAGAAGGGCAGTAAGTTTACATCATTCTATCTCCCGTGGTGTTATATTGCAGTTTTGGTCGCTAACCAATGGCTTTTCCAGCTGTTCCCGCTCTTGGTCAGAACGACTGCTGCAGCTACAAGGTCGACGCTGATGGCAAGTGCACCTAAACAATCCAGGCGACGAGTGGAAACCGCGGGGTGAGGTATGCGATGTTGAAGACCCTTCATTCTGTGTACATGAATTTCAAGTTTCAAGCGTATATATACCAAATCGAACATGCAATGAATGGACATGCTGCAAAATGGACACTTCTGCCGACCAGCAATTTTGTAGGCAGTCAGGAAGTCGGTACAATATGCTTTCGGGGTTCAACGTCGCCTCCAGTTTGCGCAAGTCATGCTTCGCCGCCCAATATCATCTCACGTGCCAGAGGAGATAGCCATCTTGTGACTTGTACTCTCAGTCATCAACCGACTCGTCTCTATGACAAAACCAAGATGTCTATTCCTTCAATATCCCATCAGGTTCGACATTGGCATCTCTTTTCTTAGCTTCAACCGACAGGCTCGACTGTAAGGGGAACATATAGCATAGTGAAACATAGTTTCGTTCTTCCAAGTTGCTTTTGTGTTCAACGACATGGATCTGACGATTAAGCAGCGTTAATATGTACGGCCTGGTTGTCGGGTATCTTGTCCATACCACTGGGAAAAGTTGCGCCTGGACAATCGGACCGTCGCGCCTGTCAACATCCTGAGAGCTTCGAACTGTATCCCAGCACGACTTGACACCAGCTTTCGAACCCCCGGCGATCTGGGCCAGTTTGGTGTAGACTCTTTCGATATGACTCTGGTCATGAACCTTTCGGGACCAAATAAAGTACTTTCGCACCCATCGCTCCGGGTTGTGTCGTCGGCAAAGGTCGAGCCACACTGCTCCTTTGAACTAAAACAACGTTATGACATGAACCTATCGTTTCCAACTGGCTGGTATTTGGGGACATACCTCCTGTGAAGATTTCAGCTCGGCGATATCACTCCTCGTTAGCTCAACACTCCACCCGATGAACTTGGCGCCCATCTTTTCATACTTTTTGTTCAGGCTCCAATGCAAACACAAAGCCTCCTTTCCGACGTAGTCGCGCTGTATCCCAGCCTCGTCAATATCTGCAAGAGTCCTGACAGTACAGCACTCGTTTGATAGGTCAAAATACCCATGTATGTCGCCTGACTCGTCACAGGTATCGTGGCATTCGGGAACGACTGGATCGATGTTGCATGTGCAAGGGAAACCTTCGTCTGAATGTCTGGTCTCCGGTTCTCTCGGGCAATGCACGAGTGACTGAATGCTGACCGACGATTCGGTGTTACATTTCACCGCTTCTGATGGGGACGCCGGTCTTTCGCGCCCGATGTTCATGGTTGAAACTGTGCCAATATGAATGTCAGGTTGGGAGAGAGCAACGACTATCGGCCGCCCGACGCTAGACAGAAACCTACCAACAGCATCCCTCACGGATTTAAACCATCTCCTAGCCCTCCATTTCATGTCTCTGATGAGTGCTTTTCCGCGCATGGCCTGGCTCAGAACCAGAGAGAACGGACTAATGACAGTTCCAGGTAAAACAATGTCGAGGTGATGAAGGAAGATTGCAAGGGGGGAGGAAATGCGGGGATATGAAAGATGTTGGAAGTCCTTGGAGGAGACGAGGGTGACTGGTTAGTAATTTCCGCGGCAAGGGACTGTTCCAAGGTCCAACACAGTCCAACCTCTGAACGGATGTTTGCTTTCTTGAGTTGGATCGACGCCAGTGAATTCAGCCGCCTTTACAGCTGTTCTCTTTTCGCACGTTCTCTGACCGAAACAAATACCTAGTAGTCAACTAGCTTCATACCGTTTTCTGTCTTTTTAGTGCTGCCTGCAGGTAGTTACATATCTTTAGGGCATATTTCGCGAGCCCAAATAGATACAAAAACATATAAAATCACACACGTAGTTCAGAATCACATAGAAGGCGCTTGAGATAATACTTTTCCCATCGTATGTCTTGTTATCAGCAGGGCCTTGAATGCCAGTTTCATGATTGGTTCACTGGACTGAAAAGTTCGCTGAAGGTTTACAAATTGCCACACCACACCGGTTTGCCCTCCCATTTTGAACCTCCATCTTCAAAAAAGCTTTCTCGACCGGATTATTCCTCTCGATCCAACCTCAAGTCCGGTTCCAAACGTTCGGCATCTCCCATCTGACTGCAACTAACTTAACTAACAGGGTCGCAGAACCCAAACCCGATCGCCCAAACTAGAAGATTCCAGATGTCGAAATTAAGAAAGACGGCTCAATACCGATGAATGGAAGTTTTTGTCGTAATGATGCCACATCCGTTGTTTAAGGTTTCGCTGCCGTTGAAGCCCAACCGACGACGTTAGGCGTCCGGCAGCTGTTGGCCCTCAAAATGATTCTGCTTAAAGTTAGGTTTATCTCGACGAAGAGAGGGGTCGATGAAGCTTGTTGGTTAGGTTCCAGATGCCGAGGTGCACACATTTCATGTTGTGCCATCGGCTGCCTTTCAGCTACAATCTTATTTACATGTCGCCTCCTCTCAAAGCTAGTGCCCAAGTTGGCCAATGCACTTTTCTGTCCGGTTTTGACGAAGTGACCTATACAATGGCCCACAGATACAATCTCCGCCCCAGGCCTGTCAAAAAAGCCGACAAGAATGACGAAACCATGAACCCCATAGTCAGTGTTGAACCTTCTGGGTATGAACGCCTAGTAGCCCAGATCTGCCCTAAATACCTCACCAGAGACGAGGCCAACGAGATACGCGAGGAATTCAACAAAGTGTGGGTAGAGGATAAACAACTCCTTTGGAGTGGCACCAATTACCATGTAACCAAGATCTGGGCTGCACAGCAAGGCCTTCAGACTCTAACCGATGCGATGGGCCCTCTGATGTGTGAGGGAAACGATAAGTGCCGAAAGACAAGAAGCTCTCGAACCTGGAGTCAGTACATGAGGGGGGCCTCGGCATTATTTGCGTGGCGCATATCGCAAGGCCGAGTTGCCACTGTGTTGACACCTCCGCCCCCACATCGATTTCACCCTTCGGGAATGACAAACTATCAAGACGTTGAAGAGCCGATCCTCAAGGGCGTCCTCGGCATATCAGTGGGCAAGATCATGATGATTCATCCTGAGGTTCCGGGCGCTGAAAAGTTCGTCTACGAAGCGTGGCCTGTTGACCATTGCGCGACGTGGATGATCAAATTCGGTGAATTTCCTAACAGAGACTGGAGAATCGTGAGCCACAAGAGAGGTGTGTTGTTTTGGTCGATTGACAGTTGAGGCGTGATGTCTAACGTAGCAGCAGCACAAACAATTTGGCAACCTGTTGTTGGCGACACCCAGCCAAAGCCATTGCTAGATGGCAGCCCCCAGATAATCATTCATCAACTTCAGGACCAGTCAAACAATAAGAAGCCAAAGCTTCACACTGCTATGAATCTTCAAAACAGTTTCACCGATCCAAGGCCAGTCTCAATGAACGAGGCCCGACGAGCCATAGACGAACCGCACGGATTCATGGCCCTCGCCTTTTTACTGTTTGTCGAAATCTTTCTATGCTTTGTGCTCCCCTTTGCAGAATTTTGGAAAAATGTCACAACTGAACTCAGACATCAGCATCAACATGATGATCAGCAGTTCAACACTGCCTACCAGAGCAAGCCCAAAGTCAGAAAGTCCGGTTTTAAAATCTCGCTCAAGCCTATTCCTCAACCTGGGAACGGAGGAAATTGCACTGCCTCGGGAACCAGCAACTCCCAACAGCCGAATTCCGCCAAAAATAACAAAACTTCGGACCCATCTTTGACAGCCAGGAAGATTGCAGAAATCTTAGGCGGAGATATTCATCTAAGATCATTGAAGAACCATCAGCGTAAAAAGCTTTCAAGGCTTCAGGAGAAACTTGTTGCGATACAAGCGCAAGCCGAGACTCTTAGGTATGAAGTTACGAAAGTCTGAAGAAAGCACCAAACACAGATGGGTTGTGGCGATACTTGGGAAAATGAATCCAATGTTTCAGAGGGTTCCAAATGGGCACAAAGACCACCAGAAAGGGATAACGGCTGATATGGGAGTTCAAATTCCTTTTGTTTCTTAGCAATTTTGACCGTTCGTCATGCTCTCTTCTTCACAACAATCCAAATATTGAAACATTGTAGTTCTAGTGATAAGTTGCATAGAATGGCCTTGCGCTGACTTCCCACACGCGAAGTCTTTCTTGAGGTAAGACTCAAGCAATCTTCTACATCATCGTCAACATCCTGCCTTACAATAAATATTACGAATCAATTATCGCCCAAGGGTTAACTTCTGATCCTTAAGCTCTCACAAATTTGAGTCAGATCTCGTAGAAAATGGCGTGCAATTTATTATCAAATTCCGATACCTTGATTCTGCCAGAGACCTACAAGCAAGGGGGCATGAAACTTCTGTGGCTGTGGTTCTCAAAGACATCTGATGAATTCCACATGGCCTTCTCAGATGTTTAGGTGGACATCGCGGCTGGCCTTCTTAAATTCAGATCAGCATGATAGGATCCCCGATTTCAAATCCCGAAAACTCATGAACCTTGCGGGTACACGATTCTGACTCACAGGACCAGTGTCTCTGAGGGGGGAGGCTCGAAAACCTACATGGAACTCTATCTCGTGACAGAACTTAGACGACCGCATCTCTCAAAACTAGAACACGTTTGACTTCTGGAACTGCGGAGTAAGTCCAATCACAACAGCCTGATGGCGTGATGCGAATACTTAACCTAATGAGTTTCTGGCAGCTGTCTCCTGATCCCGAGGTGAGATCCAAATGTGAGCTCGTCATACCAGAATGAATAAAGGTCGACGCGTGGGCCTGATACTTCATTCAGAATTATCTTACATAACAGTTAAATATCACGAGGACTTCGCCGACAATGGATGAACTGACTGATGCATTCTACCGTTGGCATCTAGCAGCCCCCGGATACAACCGGCTCCTCAAAATTATATGCCCCAAATATCTATCGAGAAGGGAGGCGGACGATATCATGTTCCAATTCAATGAGATTTGGGTGAATGACAAGCAGGTTCTTTGGAGCGGCGTCGATCATGACCTGGCCGAAGAATGGGCAACGCAGCGCGGGATGCAAACGCTCACTTGCGCCATGGGCCCTCTGATGAACTGGACCCATCCAAAGTGCAGGAGAATCTACAAATCTGGCGTACAATGGACCAGATACATGAAGGGAGTTTCCGCGATCTTCGCCTGGAAAATTGCCCAAGGCCAGACCACCACCCTCTTGACCCCTCCGCCGCCTGTCCGCTTTCATCCGTCTGGGTTGACAAATTACCAAGACATCGAAAGACCAATTCTCAAAGGGACAGTTGATGGCGTGTCTGTTGGCAAGATTCTTGTTGTACATCCAGAGGTTGATGGGGCTGAGGATATGGCGTATGAATATTGGCCCAAGGACCATGTGGCCAAGTGGTACGCGAAGTATGGTTCCAAGAAGCATGGATCTACGAGATGGAGAAAGATCAGTCACAAGAGACGTAAGATAATGTTTGAATCCCTTTGAAACCGGATGCTAATTGAAATAAGGGGCTACAATCTGGCCAGCGAAGGTAGATATATCCCCCGAAGCTTTGGAAACGATGAAAGTGGGAGAAATTGGCATTCTCATAATCATTGGCTTACTTGCCCTCGCCGAAGTTTGCATACACTTAGTCTTTTCACTTGGATTGCTGGTGTACCATTCCGCTTCCATGCTGTGCCCACGACATCGTGGGTACAGTTGTGGGCATAATAAGCCCGAAGGGCTTATCATCACTCAGAAGATTGATGTTGATCTCAACGTAAACGTTGAAGAAGGAGCCGATCCGGCTTTCTTATCCCTTTCTGTGCCTCTGTCATCTTCCATGAAGACCAATGAGTCGGTCGTGGATGGTGTCAAGAGACTCAGATGCACCAAAGTACACCGGTATTCCGCCACTGGCGGCAAAGGAAACAAAATGAAACGGCTGAAGAGCAGGCAGCGACGGGTCCCAAAAGACAAGATTGGCAGTATGGGAAAATGAGCTGGACGATTGCTCGAACACCTAGGAGTTTGGAAGCTGGAAAGGGATGAGATCACTCACGTAGACTCTCACGGACAAACAAATTGGCAAAAGGGGCTATCGTGAACTTCGAGCAGGAAGGAGATTACCAAAGTGCCACAACACCTGAACACTTAATGTATTGAACCCTCTTAAGATTGAGTCTTGTTTTCAGATCATGTTCACTCATGGCCAACTTCTTATTGACTGGAAGATCCGCCAAAACTGGCAGTGAGTCCGTTCAAGGTTCTATTACGTGGACTCCAAAGCACTCCGAGGTCCTCACAACAGCTATTGTCAAGATTTTGTCATAGCGATCAAATTCATGTCTTTTTACTTACACTTCCAAGTTTGGAACTGATTGAAACTCTGTTCTATCCTGCCACCAGCTTTCGAGTCATTGCCATGGTGTTTGGTCCCTCGATAGCATCTTTCAGCAACAATCGTTATGAAGGCTTGCATAATAACATGCCAATCATCAAATTCATCATTTCAACATCCTATCACGAAGGGCGCACACGACTCGGAATAGGCACATGTTCGAAACAAAAGCTTTCACGTGAGATCGACTGAGTGTGAGCTGATCCCTCGATAATAACATCTCAGTAATTCTCGGAGAATTCAGCGCGATGAGCAATTCTGTGTTACCTGATATTCTACAACTACATCTGGTGTCAGACTGGATCATCAGTCCTCGATGAGGACCTGAAAGCCAGATCCCTCAGCTGTAGTCGCCGATCCCCTCAGGCATCGAGCGACCGTCATCCTACATCAATCCGATACAACCTCACGCACAAGAAGCAAAACTGCCCGAGATCATCATCCCGCCGACGGCCTCGGGCCTCAAGACAGGCGTTCAATCTCGATATCTTCAACCCCTCTCAAACGGTTTGACGTCAGCGGTCTCACATCTCCTGCCTATCATCACGCAACCGCACCGAGAAGCACGTGAAGAGTCACCCTCTCAGGCAACGGGCCCTTGACATCACAAATCCTCCGGATCAGCTCACCAGAAGGACCCCTATTCCCCCAGCTAACCCACAGAAAGCCGTCCTCACCTCACCCATCGCCGTGCCCCGAAACGCCCCCGTTCCACAAAAAAGAAAGCACATCATTCAGCGACGATCAACGGCGTGCAGTCCCCTCTTTTCAGATGCAACGAACCTCCAGTCCAGCTCCAAGCCAAGGGCGATGATCGCACAGCCAACCAGACGGCAGCACCGTGAACGAGCCACTGGCGAAGCAGACGAAGAGAGGGGGGCGAGCAGGTCTAGAACTGCGGGACGATCACTGGCGTCATCCACCACCCTCCAACGTTCCCCCCTCAGGGTCCTTTGGGTGTGCCCGCGTATGGCAGGGAGCAGCGCCGCGACAACACCCTCTCGCAATCTTAATAGGTGAGGTGTGATAAGCAAAATGCGAGGCAGCCTCAAGGACCCCGAAACGTCTTCTTGCAGGCGCGACCTGCCGTGCAGAACTTCAAGACGAGTCTCCTCTTCCTTGGGTATCAATCTCACACCCATTGACGAACTAGAACGTCAACGCAGGCCGTCGCAGCACTTCTGCAGCAGTCGATTTCAGGCCTAGACAGAAGATGCCAGAAACACCGGCGCGCCGGCGTGTCAGGATAGGATGATAATTCCCGACCCTCCATTCCGTCTTGAAAATTTTCCCTGAACAATCGTCCGAGATTGTTCGTCTTGTTGAGAGAGTACCGGTACCTCCCAAAAGCGCGATACGCCTGCTACAAGGCCAGGTTCAAAGCGGTACGGATCGATGCGCGCTGACTATCTGGGATGAGACGGGGGGCATGGATGGGTCGCAATTGACCGAGAAGGACATCAAACCAAATTGACGACGTTATTATCAAAAACAATAAGCCCACACACGCGAGAGACAGGCCACCTCAACAAAGCATTGTTCCCGATAACGCAAGCACTGACCCAAGAAACAACGCACAGCCTCGCGCGAAGCTAGCCGCCTCCCCACCACGGCCAAGGGAGAGAGAGACTGGGAGAAGAAGCACCGGGGTGGTCGGGGGAACAGACGCCCCCAACCAACCAGCCCAGCCTCTAAGATGGAGAGATGCAACTAGGGACCCTGCCAACGCTGCAGAAAATAACAGCGAGCGAGCGAGCGCACAGAGGTTTCTCTGTTCCCTTTTGGGGAAGGAGAGGCAAACCAAGACACAAGATGCGCACATCTCATTTCCACCGACGTTGGCAGTAGTCTAGTTCCCCGTCCACATCACACCGCACGCACAACAACGCGCTCATGGCAAGAACTCCACTGAGGCGAGGTTGGCATCTCGAAAAAACCGTGCCACAATTAGTCCGTTAGTGTGTAAGTTTCTCAGAAGCGAGTAGCTCCAACGGGGCAGGCATGGCAAGTATGTGACATTTCGCCGCGCAACGCCGTGCGTCGTATCCACCACCTCTCGGTCTGATATGATGATGATGTGGCCGTGGTTCGGTGGCCCCACTTAAGCAGCCTCAACATCTCAAACTGCGAACTGCTGCTGCTGGTATCCGCAGTGGGAACGTTTTTCAGCTTCGGAAAACTGGATCTCGCGGGGTTGGGGCGTTCTGGCCAGAGAGAGAGAGAGAGAGAGAGAGAGAGAGAGAGAGGGCGGATGCACGAGCGGTTGCTTATCGTTCTCCTCGCGGAGGCGGAGACGGGTGAGAAGTAGTCTATTCTCTGGAGAACGGAGACGCAACGGCTGGCTGACAAGACACGATGCGTCTGTCCGGATCTGTTTACGGATATGCCCTGAGGGGGCCTGGAGATAAGAGCTTCTCTGTCTCAGTTGAAGCAGCAGCATAAGCACAGTTGCGGGTACAGCACCAACAGCATTTCTATTCACAGCACCCAGGCTCACGCAGGGGGTGTTGGAACAGGACAAACACTCGCAGCAGTTTTCTGTCCGACATTTGCGGTGGACATGGGTTGAATGAACGAACGAACGGAGATCGACGCGTCCGTTCGCCTTTCCGCAGACCACCACACACGCAACCCACACATCCACATTCTCTCCGAGAGGGCAGCGCAGCCCACCGAGGCCGCAGATTGGACGCAGCCGTTCATTTCGAGGTTCCAGTTCCATCTCACCATCTCCATCTGCCTCCGCGCTTACGGCCCCATCCCATGCCGCAGGACCCGTTCCGTCTTCGCTGGGGTTCTCACCTAGGTTGTGTTGATCGTCTCGTTTCTCCTTCTCCTTCTCAACATTGCCCAGCCCCAAGGGCCCCATTCGCAGTGCACACACATTGCACCAGCGGAGCCTCCACCTCTGCCCGCATCTTGACACGGTCTAGACTGAGCCCATCAAATCCTTCCTCTGCTCACCACACACCGAGCCCTGCCGCCTAGCCCCAGCACCCCGTCTGATCCACGGCCGACGCACCGTTCTGAGATCGACAAAGGCCTCTTGTCAAATGAAGACCTCTCGAACATGCCAAACGTCCAGCGTCTACTGTCACCTAAACCACAGCAGAGCCCCTCCGCGGCCGGAGCCACACATCCATCCATCGCCGTCCCGGCGTCAACATCAAAAGACTTTGCCAAAGATGCAACGTTCTCTCTCTAAACGAAGCCCGGAGCCCCTCTCCTCTTCGCCTCCTGCCTGCTACATCGCATCTGTAACTTTGACAAGCCCGCCCTGGGCTCCTCCCCCTCGTACGTACCCGCATCCGTATCTGAGCGGAGCCAGATATCCACCCCAACAGCAACAGCAGCCCGCAGCGGACGAAATATCTCAATAATTTCCTCATGCACGTAATTCGCCTCTCCCTCTGCACGACACAGACACACACGCCTTTTGCGCCTCGCCTCTTCCCAGTCCTCATAATGCCGCGTTGAAATTCTCGCCATCTTACGTACGCTCCAAGGGCGACAGCAACCACACACACACACACACACACACACACACACACAGACTCGCCGACCGTCGGCCTGTCGGGTTTCGATAGGTCTTGCAGCAACAACATTGGTCAATTGACAGACAAAAACCACTCAATCGTCAATGAACCCTGGTCATGATCGGAGCATTTCGCACATCCAGCACGCTGCAAACCCTCTGCGCCCTGTAAAATCTGCGCGCAAAAATACGCGCAGCATCTCCGTCCCCCGTGGCCCCCTTGTCTCTTGTCGCAGCACGCCCGGCCAGTCAAGCCTCTAAACCTCCAACCTGCAGCACTCTCAATCTGTATCCCCAAGAAGAAAAAAAGCCCGCATCTCATCGTGGATCAAACGCACGATGATATCGCATCATCACAGCCAAGCATCTTCCAACCTCGCATCCAGAGCCTCACCTCGCTTCGCCTCTTGTAACCATATCCACATCCAAAGGGCCATGTTCCTCTAACCCCCCTTAGCCCATGTAGCAAGATCCCGCCATCTAACATCCAAACAAAGGGAAAACAAAAAACCACCAGATCCAGCGCCCACGCCCCCCTCTCACCATCACTAGCCCATCTCCATCTCGACCGAAACCAGCCAGCAACAGCTCTTCCCACCCGCCACAAGCCCAAAAACCAAGCAAGCGGCCGCCATCGCTGCCAGAATAGCATAGCACGCAAGCCCCCCAAATCTGCCGTTCGTTGTTCGACCCCGTCCGCCATCCGTCAACCACCTTTTCCAGCCTCCGAACCCGGCAGTCGCAGCGTCAAAGCACTCACCCACCACACCCACCCACCACATCCATCGAGTTGTTTATTCCCGTAGAAACAATAGCTGAACCTGTGTCCGCCAGCGCTCCCTGACTCTTGTCTGCTCTTCACCGCACTGACAATAGCGCCCAAGCCCCGAGCAGGACAGGACAGGGTGTGTGTAGTACCTGGCCACCACCACCACCACCTTAAAAAGACCTTACTAAACACACTGGACTAGCACTAAACAGCCAGCGAGCAAGCAAAAAGGGGACTAAACTTCCCCAACAAGAATAAACTTCCTCCCTGCACGCCGCCAACACCCAGACCGTCGTC